TGAAAATATACAGTAAGGTTCCATATTACCACCCGATTTTCTCTAAGCCTACTTTCGGACTTTTTGTACAAAAGCCTTCAAAAACCATACTTATAATTACACTAGCGAAAAATCCAATTAGGAACATTTAGTTTACTAGTTACCAGTACTTTTCGCACAAAAAATGTGGGTGTAGTTATGATACCTTGTTTACAATTCACTAAAATGTAATTGGGGTTCCATAATACCACCTTCTCCTCTATGTTGAAACCACAAATGTTACTGAACAAATTAAAATCGAAATATATGAATTTTTAAAATAAATTCTATTTAAAAACAATTTTTATTAACTTGAAATATGTTTTCTTTTTATCCTGTACAAAAAGAGAATAAACAAAATATTCTGAAGTAACATTCTATTAAAATTCAGTTTAAGTTCTTAATTGTGGTATCAGCTGCACGTCAAAATAATAAAATTAAAAATAAAATGTTAAAAAAAATTGTTTTTAAGTTTTGACATTTAATATATGAAATACAAGATGATATTTTCCAAAATATTTTAACATTTTGCTTTTTCTATTCGATTTCTATCGAATAGAAAAAGCATATGTGGATTAAATCTCAGAAGGAAGATTAAGATAATCTTGTTTCTCAAACTGGATTATTGTTATTGTTTATTTGTACAGAAAACATCTTAATAATCTTCAGTATTAGTAAGTTTGATTCTATAAATAACTTAGTTTATATTATGCTATTGTAATTTTTTAAGCCTGTATTTAATTAAATAAATTTCTACAACATTCAAATATATAAAATTATAAAATATTACAACCAAATACTAAAATCTCATTTGTCTATTCGGATATAATAGAAATACATCTTTATTGCATTATCGAATGAATGTGCTGCCATCTACTATTTAGAAATGAAATTGTTTTTAATTTAAAAAAATTGCCTATTTCTTCACACATTTGGTGACGAAGGACAAAGTGTACTGTCCTATTTATTTTGTGGCAGTCTGCACGAGAAGGAACTTTTGGAGTAAGCAATGCGTCCTCATTTGAAAAGGATTTAATGGCAACTAAAGTCCAATGTAAATACAGTATGACAATTCTTGTACCTGATGAGATTACGTAAGCTACTCCGTCTCTCTCTTATTCCGTAATACTTAAAAACAATTTGTTTTCGAAAAACTTTTAATGTTTATTATTCTTAAACTTAATATTCTGGGCGTCAATATGACTAGTTTTGATAAGAAGCAACCAGACTCGTTTTTAGTCGTAAATAAAGATCAGCTTAATTTCCAGAAATTTTTATGGGATTTAATTTTAAATTAATTAAACAACACTGAAATTATGTTTATTACTTTTATTTTCCTGGTTACATTGAGATATGCTGTGAGCCTTAAGCAAATATGATCTGAGGCCCATGGATCATATTTGACAAGGAGACATTATACAACAGATGGGCTTTGATGTGTAGTGTTGTCGCATATTCAGAATTTATTGTTATTGTTTATGACAATGACACTGTAAGAGGAGATCATCATTGTATACAATAACTATAGATGCATTCAGTAATATTTGAATGTTTTCACAGTTGAACAATACTTTGCAGTATTAGCTGGTCATTTCAATAATAAATTTATTTATCAAAATTTGCCAGGAATTTTGTCTGGTCTGCCAGCATCCGTGTAAAAAAAATATCAGAACATGTCATTCTGCACAAGCCAAGGTGAGATTTGTCAATGCAGTGAATGTTTATTATTTCAACGTGTTTGGCCTTTTTAATTGACCTTCCTAGGAAATAACTTAAATTTACAATTTACAAAGTGACCTTGGGTTGGTTGACATTGCCATTGGAAGTGATCTGTGTGAAAAGCTTCACACTACTTTGGCAGGTAAGAAATGCACCATTAACGTCCATGTGAAAGCGTACCTACAAAATATAAGAATTTTAATGAGGATATATGGAACTATTGAGTGGTATGACTGAGTGGTTTGTCTGAAAGTGACCTAATTGTCAACTGTATATCATTTAACAAAGTTTGTTTTCCAATGAGATAAGGTAACTGGGCAATTTGAAAAAATTGGAGATTTATAAATTCCCACTGTCGTTCTTCTGTCTGTCTGTCGGTCCTTAATTAATCTTGAGAATGGAGTTAGATAGATGAAAGACGAGATCAGATATGGAAACCTTAGGCATAGAAGGCCACGATTAACTATATATGAACTTCTGATGCAAACTGGAAGTCGCATTATTTCAATTCAAAAATTTTCCACTGTAAGGTGTTAGATAGATGACTGGCACCACTCTATTGTTAAAGAAAAAGTATGATATATGGGGGCAAGCCACTAATTTGAGGTGGAGAGTATATATTTTAAATTAAACAAATTAAAAATATGATTAAAAATTGCAACCCAGCATTGTGATGTCACAATAAATAATTGCTTGCTATGCATTGAAAATTATTAGTCTAATCATTTTCCTTTTATTGTTTTACTATTTCAATTGTATTATGTTTTTATTTTTTTTTTTATCTTAGGATATCAGAAAATAATACTCAGTAAGAAAACAATACATGCAATATTAATACAAGGAAATTTTAAATGATTGTGGTATATAACTATAATCTATGATGAAAATCATACAAGGATAACTTTGAATTAGNGAACAATGTACAGTAAGGGCACAAAGTGTGAGATTCATAGAAAAGTTTTCCTAAGAATATTTCCAATCCTTTTCTCACACAAGAGAAAATGGGTTAGGGGGCGTTGGGTATAACTTTATGGAACAAAGGGGGCGGTGGATCGAAAAAGTTTGAGAATCACTGGTTTAAAGCATACAACAAACAAGCATTCGATTAAAGTGCGTTTTATATTAGATCACAATCACAGTATTTGCATGTTGAATAGTTCTCATTCATAAAAAGATATATTGACATTGACGTAGCCAGAGTTTTGTTATGGGGCCATCCTGGCACAAAATTGAATTATTTCAAATTGTTGTTCATTAAAATGAAATTTCCATAGGAATCGACAATAACTTAACACACATAAAATATGAAACTTCCTTTAATCATACGTTCTCGTAACATTAATATCGAACTCTAGCAATGCCTTAAAATTAACCAATCAATTTTTTTTTTACCATTCTTTAATATAGTTCACCGTCTTTAATCTAGATATAGACCAGGGGTGGCCAACAGTTTTTTCCTCCGGGCCGAATTAGAAAGAAAACTTTAATTGGGTGTAGTGCATCCACTACACCCAATTAAATTAGCTTCAGCTTTTTATTTGTTTTTTCAAATCGGCTCAACGCTTTTTCGGCTGTAATTTTCTAGGGAGGGCACCAGGTTAACTGGGGGGCGTGCCCACCCATGCCCTTTCCTGGCTACACCCATGTATATTGAGTCAAATATTTACCGGTAAGTATGACTTCTAATATCTTATAAAAACTAGTCATTAAGTGAAGTTCTGCACATGNTAAATTATTTTTTAAAATTGGTGCAACTAGGAATTGAAGTGCGAATTAATCTGAAACATTACTCATAAGAAATATGTATATATATAATCTTAAATTATAAATTACATAATATATACGTACTCTGAGTTTTGAATTTTACAACTGCAACTGTTGCGTGTATCTCTCGTGGAGTGAAATCTTCTGACGAACTGATGCTGTAGAATCGAGGTTGTAGTGGCAAGAATTGAGTAAGAACAAAAGCGGGTGTAAGAACAATCGAAGGAAACAATTCTAAAACATCTAAAATATTTGGATAATAATAAGCTTTCCAATCTTCATATTGCTCGGTGTTCTGAAATATTATTAAATATTAAATATATATAAGTGTACAGTACATTACTAACATTAAAATATTCTAATACATAAGACATACTTTAGATAAACTTTCTAATTTTGATTTATCTTCTTCACTTGTAGCTAACGTAGCGAAAAGACCAAGTGAGTGTTGAGATGGAGGCGTTGTTATATCTAGTAATCTACTTAATGCCATATAAATCGAACACGGTTCAAATTTTTCATTTTTAACCCATTTTTCTTTTACTCCTAACAAACTTTGAACAACTTCTAAATTTTCAACTTGATAAACAATTTGTGGATCCGGACAAGTTGTTTTCATCTTGTCTAAAATTCCTTCTACTAATTCTTTTCTATTGACTGGATAAATACCAATATGATCTCCGGGATAGAACGATAATTCAGACTGATCGTTATTTATTTTCACCAATATAGTTTGCCGCCTGCAGAATATTTTCTTATATTTACAAATAAAAAATAAATAATATTCCTTTAATATAAATAAAATACATACTCATCTAAATCTGGAGTGAGGAATGTCACATCCTTTATGGAACAAGTAGAAAGTTTCCTATTTGTTCCCTTTGAAATAGCTGAAATTATTTTTATTTACTTTAGTTCTTATTAAGGATTGTTTTTAAGCAAAGATGTTAACGTAACTAACCTTTCATTATATCAATTTTAGATTGTTTAATAGACTGCAAGCGAATTTTTTCAGGCGACCAGGTATTACTTGATTTTAATGATTGTGTAGCATTTTTCATATCAACGTCATCACCAATACAAAATACTTCGCACGCTTCCTGTAATTAACAAAGTTGAACGTATGTACTAAGTTAAAAATTCAAAATTAACATTTTTCTGATAAAATATAAGTTATAGAGAAGTTAATATTAAGTGTAGCAATTTGGATAAATGTAATAAAACATATTTCATGGAATTCATTAAGTACATATAACTAAAAACAAAAATTATATTGCTTTCTGTGTAATCTTATAGTGTAATCATATTATAGAATAATAAAAATCTTCGAAACAACTCATACTCGAAAGTTTCACAGGTTACTTGAAGCGTTTACAAATAAACTGCTTCAACCTTTTGCAATGACACTATTCTCAGTACTAGATGTTACTCTTTCGGCATCGGATCCACTCTCTATTTTAATCCCTTTGTATTTCTCATAATATATAACATTTCTAGATACAATCTTTTGATAACATAATAGAATGATCAGCTTTTTTCCCCATACCTTTTCGATGTAATTTTCTGTAGATATTACTATTTATTATTATATCACTGACTAGCTGGATCCTCCTCAACAAGGAACCAACTCCGTGGGAAATAATTTTTATAGCTTTTAGCCTAACTTGATAAAATGCTCGAAGTTAAGAATTTCCCAATAATTAAAGGTTAAAATAACACTTTATTGCGGGTCGGTTCGTCCCTCACATTAAATATAAAGAAAATTAACTATAACTTATAATTATTTTTCGTTCGTTTACTGCATTATGAAGCTTAAACGAGAAAACTTTATTAAGTAAATTTGAGCCATTCATAACTCTCTTGTAATTGTGAATTTAATGATCGTAATACTTATGACATTGATTTTGAGTAACCATGATAAGTTAGGAATCGGAATTTAAGAAATAAAACAAAGAATAAATTTTTAAATATTAAATTTTATGAATATTAATTATTCACACATAATGCGTTTCTGTAAAATATATTTAAAAGTTTACCTTCTTATGAAGCAAATTACTTTTGTGCTTTTATCAGCAGTTGCCAAATAATTTGAGCATACGCCGTAATGTAATGGACCATTTCCTTCTGTAAAAATGATTTAAACAATAAAATTAAATTTACAATTTATAAAGAAAATTTTCTTTTTGTAAAAAATTATTGTATTGTATTTTATTTTATTCCATTTATTTGTAGAGTTATAAAAGTAAAAGAAAAACAATAACTGTTTTTGTATTAATATGCAGTACAGTAATCTGAATTATTACGATTGTAAAGAAATAAAAAAGCGTAAATAATAAATTTCAGTTTTTTAAAATATAAAATATTAGTTTAGTTGGATATTACAATTTAAATTTTATTTATACAAACAGCATTTTTAAAATATGAGAAATTAAAAAAATATTTCCAAATAAAATTCAACAGACGTGAATAAAAGATATTGCATCAAATAATAAGTATATTTTAAATTACATAGTTAACAGTTTACATAACTTTCTACATTTAATCGTGATGAAGATCAAGATGAATTATCTGAAATAAACCTATATCAATAAGGATAAGAAATTAACAAAAAATGTTATAACTAAACGAACTGGTCACTTCTAGTTAACTTTCAAAATTTTGATTATGTATATAAATATAATAGATATATATGTATATATATAATCTTAAATTATAAATTACATAATATATACGTACTCTGAGTTTTGAATTTTACAACTGCAACTGTTGCGTGTATCTCTCGTGGAGTGAAATCTTCTGACGAACTGATGCTGTAGAATCGAGGTTGTAGTGGCAAGAATTGAGTAAGAACAAAAGCGGGTGTAAGAACAATCGAAGGAAACAATTCTAAAACATCTAAAATATTTGGATAATAATAAGCTTTCCAATCTTCATATTGCTCGGTGTTCTGAAATATTATTAAATATTAAATATATATAAGTGTACAGTACATTACTAACATTAAAATATTCTAATACATAAGACATACTTTAGATAAACTTTCTAATTTTGATTTATCTTCTTCACTTGTAGCTAACGTAGCGAAAAGACCAAGTGAGTGTTGAGATGGAGGCGTTGTTATATCTAGTAATCTACTTAATGCCATATAAATCGAACACGGTTCAAATTTTTCATTTTTAACCCATTTTTCTTTTACTCCTAACAAACTTTGAACAACTTCTAAATTTTCAACTTGATAAACAATTTGTGGATCCGGACAAGTTGTTTTCATCTTGTCTAAAATTCCTTCTACTAATTCTTTTCTATTGACTGGATAAATACCAATATGATCTCCGGGATAGAACGATAATTCAGACTGATCGTTATTTATTTTCACCAATATAGTTTGCCGCCTGCAGAATATTTTCTTATATTTACAAATAAAAAATAAATAATATTCCTTTAATATAAATAAAATACATACTCATCTAAATCTGGAGTGAGGAATGTCACATCCTTTATGGAACAAGTAGAAAGTTTCCTATTTGTTCCCTTTGAAATAGCTGAAATTATTTTTATTTACTTTAGTTCTTATTAAGGATTGTTTTTAAGCAAAGATGTTAACGTAACTAACCTTTCATTATATCAATTTTAGATTGTTTAATAGACTGCAAGCGAATTTTTTCAGGCGACCAGGTATTACTTGATTTTAATGATTGTGTAGCATTTTTCATATCAACGTCATCACCAATACAAAATACTTCGCACGCTTCCTGTAATTAACAAAGTTGAACGTATGTACTAAGTTAAAAATTCAAAATTAACATTTTTCTGATAAAATTTAAGTTATAGAGAAGTTAATATTAAGTGTAGCAATTTGGATAAATGTAATAAAACATATTTCATGGAATTCATTAAGTACATATAACTAAAAACAAAAATTATATTGCTTTCTGTGTAATCTTATAGTGTAATCATATTATAGAATAATAAAAATCTTCGAAACAACTCATACTCGAAAGTTTCACAGGTTACTTGAAGCGTTTACAAATAAACTGCTTCAACCTTTTGCAATGACACTATTCTCAGTACTAGATGTTACTCTTTCGGCATCGGATCCAGTCTCTATTTTAATCCCTTTGTATTTCTCATAATATATAACATTTCTAGATACAATCTTTTGATAACATAATAGAATGATCAGCTTTTTTCCCCATACCTTTTCGATGTAATTTTCTGTAGATATTACTATTTATTATTATATATAAACAGTTCTGTATATTAATTTAGATGTTGATAACAAAAACTATTAAAGGTATTTTAAATAAATAAGGAATTGTTTGAAGTTATGGATCTTATTAAACATTTTTAGTGAAATTTCCTCATATCATTTGCAACAAAACAATTTTTAGACTATCTTTAATGTAGGCAATTTGATAATCAAGGTCAACGTTTAACAACTCATAAGATATTTAATTAATTAAGATCACGGAAAAAGATATTATTATTAATTAAATAATTATAAAAATATGCGAAGTTCTTGTTTTGTAAAACTAAAAAAGACATTTTTGATTTTCTCAAAATGCTATTTTACTAACTTGAAAGACTTCTTTCGCCCAATTTCTGAAATAATATTCTTGACCACAAAGTTCGTCACCAGTCGTGAGTTTTAAAATTCTCTCTCCACCAAGTTTTTCTAATAAATTGTCCACTGTTTTCCCGAATTGAGAAAATTTCGGATATGCGCTCGATCCCAAACCAAATACAGCAAATCTTTTAAAAAGTATTATATAATTCAAGTAAATGTAAGAAATAAACATTAAAAATAAATATACGATAAATTCAATTTAATTTATAAATAAATATATTTGATTTACCTGATATTGCTTAAAAGTCCAACTTCAAAATCGGTAACATTTGATGATTTACCATTCTCAAGATCTCCACTATTATTTTAAACGAAAAATTTTTAAATAAATATAAACAACATGACTTAATTATATTTAAGTTAAATCTTACTCTAAATTATCAGTTGTTTGAAGAGACTGAAGATATTTCAAAAATTCCTAAAAATCAAAATAAATTTTATAAAATAGTTATTTAGTATTTCTGAATTATTAACGTTTGTAATATTGATTAAACTTACTTCTCCATTTTCGGGAGGGTCTCCATTTCCGAAAGTACTAGCGATAATAAGAAGAAGAGTCTCGTGTTCTAACTCGGTTAAGTCATAATCCGACATGCACATCATCTGATTAACGCATAAATGCATATAAAAGTCGCAATTACCAAAATTAAATTGAAATTTACTTACTTTTGCATTAAAAGCATGCATGAAAATATTGGTTAAAGACTTTGCATATTGTTCAGATTTTCCCGTTTCTGTTGCATATAAAATCGTAGCTTTTATACGACGAGACAATGCTTTACCGTACAAATCCGAAGTAAATTTTACGGCGCTAAGAAATTATCAGTGAGAAAAATATTCGATAATATTTTAAATACAGAAGAAAAGATTTACCTAGTAATAGTTTTGAATAAAGTTTTTTTGCGTGGCATTTGAGATTTGTCTCCAGAACTGTCTTTCTCCCAAACGTGAGACTTCCAAGCTGGTTCCTTTTGAAAGAAACGAAAATAATAATTCCAGTCTGTACTAATTTTTGTCAATTGAATAAATAACAACTTACTTGATATTCATAACTTGGTCTCAACTTATAATTGAGCATTTCTTGATGGAAGACAGGTGTAATACTTCCACTGAGAGGAGGTACTATCCAGACCCAATCAGCGGGACAACCGCCTCTCAAAGTCTGCTCTTTAGCTAAATGTTTCATGAATGACTCTGAGGCATAATGATGATCGACTATAGTTACGTTTGCTTTCTGAAAAATAATAAAAACTTTAGACGAAATTAAGAGTAATTTAGAGAGAATTAAAATAAAAATACCTTCATTAAAATTCAACAGTAACGACGATCAAATTGTTTATTTTCCGCTAGTTATGAACATATGAAAACTTAAGTTTAGAGAAAGCTGATAATCCTTTTAATTTAAGATTTTTTTTATAAAAAATGTATTTTTCAGATTTGACTAAATATGGTACAAATTTATTCAAAACAAATTGTTAAGGATTTTAGAAAAATTAGCAATACTAATCAGCAAATAACTAAGTTATATTATTGTATCATTTTTACAATAAAAGTTTTAGTGCATGCTCGATGTTGTGTTGCGACATGCAGTCAATACTTTATGCGTTACGTGTCATGTTAAATGGCAAATCCATCGATCTTTCATGATTAAAAATCGACAAATTTTTTAAATCTAAATTATAACGTAAAAATTATCACTTACTAT